GATAAACTCTCCCTTCCTACCCAGTGAAGTAAGAAGAAAAAATCATTTCTAAGCAATCAAGGCGGGAGTAGAATTGATTTATATACAAAAATCTTGATCTAATTTACATATTAAGAATATCTTCGAGAATTTATGGTTGTAATATAAAAGAACCAAACAAAATAAGAGCATAAACAACAGAAGAATCAGAAATAAGTTAATCCCACTAGTGTTATCTGAATTGAGTAATGAAATAATAAACTAAAAATACAAAGGAGCTAGGTAATACTAGTGATAATGTAAAAGAAAAATTATAAAAAACAAGTATACTCATTCAGATAGCGTAATGCATATTCTGTGAATTTATGTTCTGAACAACAAAGTGAAGATCCTAGTGAAAGATGAGAAAGTGCAGGAAAATTCCCCAGATCGTTACAAAAAGAAATCACAAATCATACAGATTTTTTAAGCATTTCCTCTGAAGGAACTTCAAGCGTTGCTCCCGCATGCTCTTTACTCGGTTTCACCTCTGCAAATCCCAACATTTGCCACGTTATGTCAACCAACAGCAACTACTCATCTATCTTAAACGTTGTAACGTTCAAATTTACAAAATTCGGTCATAAAATGAAATGCTAACGTAAAAATTGAGAAGTTTCAATGTTCAAGTAAAAAGAAAACGGATATTTTTCACGAGAAAGACAATTGATCGAACAGATGGTGTGCAAACCAGAAAATCTAAGCATTCTTCGTCCAAAGGAAATTTTGGGAGATTAAAAAGATCGATATGAAAGTGAAAATACCGTAACCGCCACGTTCATTGAGCTTGGCCTGGACGATCATGGTGGAGATGAAATGGGAGGCTTCGCGTGCCTCTTCCAGCAGCCTATTGATGTCATTCTCCGACATCACATGACGATTCTCATCGAATTTCTTGCGGGCCTCAGCTGCCGACGCCTTCAGCATAGGCTCGTCTCCGGCGAACGACTTCCGGGTCGCTCTCAGCACAGATCTGTACGCACTCAGTACTTCAGCTCTCGCCATCTCTTTCTCTCTCTCTCTGTTCTCGACTTGATTCTTCCCGAGCCGATTCTGCAACTGAAAAGAGTACGATAATGTTTTGGTCGGTGTTTGGTGATCGAATTACGAAACGATGTCGTTTTGGAAGCCTAAATGACTATACTTACATGCAAGTTTCTAAAGACATATTATTTAAACAAATTGACAATAGATTTTCTAAATTATTTTCGCGGTAACCAATAATATTTAATTATTTTTATTATATTTATTACAATAAATGCTTGTCGTAACAATATATTTAATACACTAATAATAAAAATAAATAATTCATGAATAAAAAGATAAAAAATACATGTATCTATACTAAGAAATAGAATGAGAATAAGTTTAGATTCAGGGTGAGTTTTGAGAAAAAAATATTATGATTTTACACATCCAAACTAATAGGGAAGCCACATGGAGTCGACTACACGATAAGATTACACATAATCGAATATAGTATAAAGCATGACAATAAAAAGAACATCGAAGAATCTGTTCGAGAAACGACAAGTAATACACGGAATTTCAACACTTCCTATACAAGTTCAGTGAGACAACCTCAACATGTCATCAATATAGAGATTCAGTAACAGTTATAAAGTATCCAGCATTCTTGAGAAATTAACTAGTATTTCTTCTGCAGTTTACATTTCTTTCTTGTAACACAATATGAATATTACACATTCTTTTGTGTAATCCATATAATATTGGACAACCAGGCCGTATACTCAATCCCCATCCAGATTTTAATTGTGGGGAGAAGGGAGAATATGGTGTCTTTATACATGCCTGCAGAGACTTCTAACAAATTTTCATCATTATTTTTTAACAAATCAAAGCTTGCTAATCGAATACCTATACCGGGTTTACAAAAGTGTCACCAAAGATTCCCTATCTCAGTGAATCATCAACCATCCTGTAATCGTGTTTCTTGCGACGGCATCTGTAATGAGACTTTTGATCAGCGAATGTGTTCTCCCCAACCATCTCCATTTTAGAATCTGTATCTGCTGCAAGGAAAAGGCAAATCAGATTTGTCATGAACTGTGTATTCACATTAAAAGTTTCACCCCTGGTAAATCAGAAACCTAACAACTAACACTTAAATTCTTATCACCATATCACAAAATTGCCACCACTTTGCCTAAGAGTTTGTAGCTCAATGGCAGAGAACTCCAGGATGGTGCTTGTGGTCAGGAGTTCAACTCCATCTCCATGTCCTATAGAGCTAATAAAAAAAAAAGCCACCAATTCAAAAGTGGCTAAATGGCAATTTCGCATCTCAAATATCCAACTTTTCTTGCTCCATCTTTTCTACATGTATATTTGCCTTTCAATTTTTTCTTCCCCACACATACAGGAAAAACCATTTACCAGTTCAAGAAACCAACTTTCAGGACCTCATTATGACTTATATACAGCACAATTGTATGTGAGTGACACAAGATGAGCAATCCCGTGTTTATCTTTGGGCATCATAGGGGAAAGGGCACTAAGTAGGATTTGAAAATATTATGAACCCCAAAAGATGACAAGAAGGACAAATAAACATCAACTAAATAACCCTCTCTTTATATGGATTCTCTATGCTATGTTGGTTATTTAGGAATTCTTGAAAGACACACTAACTCCCTAAAAGTTAGATGCCTTTTACAAGATATAATCCTGGGACAATAACCCACAAACATCTGACAATTCATCACTCACTGTTGGTAAAGTGATGAACACTACTTAAATAGCAGCAACTTGGAAAACCTAAGAGAAAAGATC